TTGGGCAAACCCAACCTTCTAAAGCTTAGGGGCTCTACAAGGGGGTGTGGGGGTAGGAGAAAGGGGTAGAGTGGCCCAGCCTGTCACAGCATCCTCTATGCATCCTGGCAGCTGGACTTCACCAAGGAGGTCTTGCCCAGCCAGGGGACAGTGTATATCCGGAAAGAGCAGAGCGTTTTCTGTGAAAGGGAAGGGAGAGGGAGAGTTAGGGTTCCAGTGAAAAAGGAACATGCCCAGCCTCAAGATGTCAGAAGTGTGGGTGAGGAAGGGTGGTGATGGGATTCTCAACCCCCATCCTGCTGAAGCCTAGAACACTAAGCAGGGGTTGGCAGTGACCTCTCAGTCACCCCACCCACCCCTTAAGTCCAAGACATGATTCCACAAGCTCATGCCCCCTGCACATCCCTGTGCAGCCTGTGCAAGATCACAGAGCCCCTGAGGGACAGGGTGCTGCCCCCAAGTCCCCTGCACCTCCAATGGGCCAGCACTAAGACAGGTGCAGAGCGAAGGATCGAGGGACTAGGATCAGAGTTTAAGAAACACCCAAAGACTCAGGGAATGGGGTAGCTATGGGGGGAGTGTGCCACCCCCCCAGAGGCCTCCCCGATGAGAGAGAGACTAGTATTTGGTGAGGACAGGACCAGAGGATTTGGGCTGCTTACAGGCCTCTAATTCCCTCTAATCTGTTCAGGTGGCTGAGGCTGGGATTAAGGGGTCATCTCTTTCCCCAGCAAACACCTTATTCCACAGGCAACAACCCAACAGCACAAAGTGCCCCAATTCACCAGCTAAAACCCACTTATAAACTCAAACTAGTCATGTGCACACACACACGTCCTCCCCCCACAAACACCCTGACACGTGCACACCCACACACAATGCACCCCACAGGCACATACCCTCATCAGGTGTGGCTGGTCATGAAAGGGACAGCTGTCCAAGTTGGGCTGGGACTTGGTACATCTGGTTCGTCCGATCTCCACCTCCAAGTAGTAGTTCATCCCAGCCACGACCTGCACATGTCAAGAACAGGATTTGTTTACAACACCTGCCAATCTCACACACACAGGTACCTTCCTGCTATTGGGTCCTCACGCCAGCATTCACTGCTGCCAAAGCAGGTACCCCAGAAAACCAAAGCCACCTTCTGAGGGCTGGTCCAGCAGCTGTGCCCAGACCCTCCTTGTAACTTGTTCACTGAGGGGCTCGAAGGTCTCAGGCAGCCTGGGAGGAGGAGAAGCAGGAAGACGGAAGGTGGAAGCCAGGGACCAAAATCCTGTTAACTGGGTTTAGGAGGGAAGCCAGCAGCATGGTTGTAGGCTAATAAACTCCTTCAGTGCCAGGAAGCAGGGCAGGGTCTGAGCACACAGCGGGGGCTCTGTGCTGGAGCAAACAGAGTGGGTCTGGTTCAGGAAGACAGTCATGAGATGGGTACACTTAAGCTAAATTCCAATTAATAGGGTCAACCCTATAGATCGTTATATTTCCGCAGTGTAACAAAGGTTTATTTATTCCCTCATTTCCCAGTAGGAAATGAGAAGCCTCTCTTTCTCATGTGCGCGTGCGTGCGCACACACACACACACACACACATTTTAGGCCAGTAAAACACTGCCCCTGGAATGCCTACCTTTTAAGTGTGATTTTTTTTTTAAAGATTATTTATTTATTTATTTGAAAGAGAGAGAGAGAGAGCGCGCACAAGCTGCAGGCAGAAGCAGAGGGAGAGGGAGAAGCAGGCTCCCCACCAAGCAGGGAGTCTGACGTGGGGCTTGATCCCAGGACCCTGGGATCAGGACCTGAGCTGAAGGCAGATGCTTAACTGACTGATGGGAGTATTTCTGAAGTGTGTCACACACCTGCTTGTCTTTTACATTTGAGATTATAGGATAGGAGCATACCTTGTCCTCACAGAGGGCATCCTTAGAAAGAAACTTGGGATGAGGACCGGGTACCAGGCTCTGCATCTTACCTGGTGGAACCACAAGCAGGTCCCAGGATCCCTCTGCTGTCACTTTCCCCAATGAGTTGTGATGCCAAGCCAGTGTCACAGTGGAGAGTAGCAGGCTGGGGGGAACCAAGTGAGTATACATGTCCCATCCAAAGGACACAGTGCCAGTCACTGCTGTAGGGGGCGGAATGGTCTGTTCTGGGCCACCTTCTGAAGTTTCAAGAGAAGGCGGATGAGCCCTAAATGCTGGCATGCATTACAAGGTTTTTGTTGCTCTGAGGTTGTTCTGCTCTCCACTGGGCTCCAGGTCAGCTGGCCTAAATCCTAGCCACCCTTAGAGGATAATCCCAAAGCCCAGTGGCCTTTCCGGACACTCCCTCCAAGCCCTCTTCTGGACTCTGCTGACTCTGCTCCTTATCTGACCAGAACTCCAGGACAGGGCTGGCAGAAGCAGGGGTCAGGAGCAGTCCACTCAACAGCCCCCTGGGTGGTGGTGATGGTGGGGCCTTATCGGGGTGAACAGTGTGATGGCCCACATGAGAGGCTGTTCCCATGGACATGCCCTGTGGACTGAAGCAACACTCCAGGGGCCTTTCCACCAGCATGTCTGGACAGGTTTGAATTCCTATGCCAGACCCTCTGCTCTGAGGTGCACGGAGTACCACAAGCCAGCTCATCGACCCATCTGTGTTTGCTGACAGCCTCTCGGTGCTCAGGGAGCAGCCAGGGCCCCACCTCAGGGAGGATGTTTGGTGTGGGCCCCAAACTCCATTGCAGGATGAGGACATGGAGGCTGGGTTAGTTTGGCGGCACCTGTTGAGAGGAGGCTTGGAGGAGAACGGGCCTCTTCTGCATGACCCCAGTCATCTCGAGGAAACATGGGGAAACCCCAAACTGTGCCCCAGGGTGCACCAGGAGTGGCTGGATCCTTCAGAAATGTCAAGTTCATCGATGGAGAGGCTGCTCCAGAGTAAAGGAGGCTGCAGGACAGTGGCTGCAGCACATGGCCTGGCAGTCCTGGGCCATAAAGGACATGAGTGGGACAATCAGTGAGTGACATCTGAATAAGGTCTGTGGATTAGATAACTGTGTCAGTGTTGGTTCTGACTGCCAAAGTGTTATTGTGGGTATGTCAGAAAACACCCTTGTTTCTAGGGAATACACACTGAGGTGTTAACTCTCAAAAGACTCAGAAAACAAATGCATATATCCCCGTATACACACGTATGTGCCCAGTGGAAAGCAAAATGGCAAAACTTTAACATATAAGAAACCTAGGTGTAGAATCTACAAGGATTTTATGCACTTTTTGTTACTGCTTTGTAAGTCTGAAATTAAAAAAGTTACAAAAGTGCTTTAAAAAGTCATTTAGTGGCAGGGCCAGGAGGGCAGTCAGGTGTGGGGTCGTTTTTCCCTCGCCCGTGGTCATTTAGTTGACAGTTCACACTGAGCCTCCGTGTCCCATGAGGCTGAGGCACGGAGGTAAGGGAACTGGATGGGGCCCTGACCTCCACACCGCAGCCTCTGGCCAGGCTGGCGTTTGAAAACACAAATGAAGGCCATGGGGGTGACCCAGTGTGCCGGCTGGGTCCCGGGCACTCCCGGTGACAGGCATGCATAGGGCAGGCCGAGGGCGACCAGAGAGACCAGGGACACCGCCCGCTGAGAAGCAGGGAAGCGCGTCGGCAGGCCCCACCCAACCTCTAGGGGCTCGGAGACTGATCCCTCCAAGATGCTGGGCTGACCGGTAGGGGCCGGGCTAGAGACGTCAGGCGGCTACGCCCCGAGCTCAGGGCCGCCCCGCACCCACAGCCCGGCTCGCGGCCCCCGGGGGGACGCACCTGCTTGCGGGCGCGCACCACTCGCATTGCGCGGCTATGGTACGCGTCGTTGCTCGCCTTGTTGTACTCGCTGAGGGCGAAGTTCAGCGCCTGCTGCACGCCCTCCTCGTTGACGTCGGCGTCCAACACACCGCCCACCAATGTAGACTTGGGGGTTCTCCTGTTTGTCTCGGGACTCACGGCCAGGGCCAGGGCCAGGGTCAGGGCCAGGGCGGCCAGCAGGAGCAGCGGGGTGCGTCGGCGCCCGGCCATTGTACAGCTCAGAAAAGAGTGATCCAGCCGCGGCGAACAGCCCCGAGCGCCGCAGTCGTGCTTTTATTCCCCCAGCCCCGCCCTCGGGCCGCCCAGCCCACCCCGGCTCCGCCTCTTCGGCCCCCGCCTGCCCTTCCCCGGGCCCGGTGTCCGTCCCCCGCGGGAATCCTGCCCCTCCTCCCGGGTCCTGCCTCCGCTCTTTGTACTCCCCAGCCGAGCTCCTCCCTCCCGGTCCCAGCCCTCTATCATGAGTTGGGGCCCCAGCCCCCCTCTCCTGGCCTTATTTCCCCAGGTCAGGCTCTTTTCCCCTCCCCTAAGCTCCTCCCCTCTTCTCGGCGTCTCTCCTCCATCTAAGTCCCGCCCCTCCGCTGGATGCTATCCAGTCCACCGCTCCAAATCCCCTGGCCTTTCCCCGAGTCTGGCTCCTCCTCTCTAGTCCTGCTCAGGCGCTGGGTGGAGGGTTCCCAAGTTTAGCTCCCTGTGGTCTTGCAGAAGGTGTCACTCCTCCCAGGGCCTGCAGTGCCTGTAACCCCCAACCCTGCCTCCTGTGAAAGGGGAAATAGCGCTCTGGACTTCCTGGGGGTTGAGCATTGATTGGGTCTAAGTCTAGGAATCCCCAGAGGTCGATTTCAGAGGCTAAGGAAGACTCTGCGCTTTGTTTTAGAGAGCTCTTTCGCAAAACATAAATGATTTAACGTTTATTTGGGAAAAGGTCATCGGGTTCTCTTTTTCACAACTCATTTATTTATTCAACCAACAAACCTTTCTGGGACTTCTACCTGGCCACGAGGTCTCCAGCCTGTACATGAAGCATGGGTTAGTGAGCCTTGGACTTGTCACAGGGCAACTGCCCAATAGAGATGCAATGTGAACCATCTGTGACTTTGCATTTTCTAGTACATTAAAGTAAAAAGACATGGGTGAGAGTAAGTTTAACATTTTTTATTTAACCCGGTATATCCAAAATATTATTTCAACATACACAAGCAATTGTTTAATGAGATATTTTTACATCTTTCCTATGTGTGCTAAGTACTTGGAATCCTGTGTGTATGTTTTACACACAGAGCAGATGTCAATTCAGACCGGTCCCATTTCAAGCACCCCATGGCCGAGTGTAGCTGGTGGCTGTGATGTTGCACAGCCCAGGTTTAGGGTGTGTGTGGGGGGGTGGGAATCAGTGATAAGTACCATCAGGGAGTGCTCTGTTGGAAGTGAAATAGAGGGGGTTGATAGAGAAAGGTGCTACGGAACATGCTCAGGGAGACCTCCTGGAGAAGAGAGGCATTTCAGCTGAAACCTACAGGACAAGAGAGGTCTGCTGAGACCAGGGAGAGACACTGAGAAGCCATGGTAGCTGGGTACAGGATGGGCTAACAGAGCCCCCAGCTCAGGACTGTGTAGGTCTGTGCTCCAATATGGCCACAGAGGGAGTGGGCAAAGACTTTCTTAGTAATACAGAAAGAAGGAGATACACAGAGCAGGGCAAGAGAGGACTGCCCCTGGCCAGGTACTCCTACTCCTACTTCTACTACTACTACTTCTCCTTTCTTCTTCGCCTCTTCCTCCTTCTTCTCCTTCTTCTTCTTCTCCTTCTTCTTCCTTTCTTAAAAGATTTTATTTATTTATTTGAGAGAGAGAGCACAGAGGGAAAGTGAGAGGGAGAAGCAGACTCCCTGCCAAGCAGAGAGCCCAACACGGGGCTGGATCCCAGGACCCTGAGATCGTGACCAGAGCCGAAGGCAGATGCTTAACCAACTGAGCCACCCAGGCACCCCCTGGCCAGGTACTTCTGAGCAGGAGTGGCTATCTCTGGAGGGTGGGGATTGGTTCTCACTGTGGTTTCCCCACCCATTCGAGACAGCTGGAGCTCAGTCTTAGAAGGGTATGTCACACAGAGGGTAGGCTGAAATGTAAGGGATCCTCTTATCTTTAGTCATGGGGAAGGAAGTGCAGGGCACACAAATAGCCAGAGCATGATGGCAGATGTGAGTGTGGTGGAGGGTTGTGACTTGACACGTGCTGCTGTATGTCTGTTACACTGCCTATTTGTAATTCTCTGTTAGGACTCTGGCATGTACCACATCTCTAATCCTAACAGAGAGTGCTTACAGAAGCTACCAGTGCAACCTGCAGAATATCAGATAAGTGGAAGGCTGCCCTTCTGTCCCAGCTGTTTGAATGACCTTGGGCAAACGTAACAAATTTGGAGAGGTGGGCTTCTTTGTTAACAGTAGTGTCTGGGTGGCGCCTGGGTGGCTCGGTTGTTAAGCGTCTGCCTTCGGCTCAGGTCATGATCTCAGGGTCCTGGGATGGAGCCCCGAGTCGGGCTCCCTGCTCCACAGGAAGCCTGCTTCTCCCTCTCCCACTCCCCCTGCTTGTGTTCCCTCTCTCGCTGTCTCTCTCTCTGTCAAATAAATAAATAAAATCTTAAAAAAAAACAAACAAAAAAACAGTAGTGTCTGGGGCTCAGAACCCACGGAGATGAGCAGGCTGCAGTGGTGATGCTTCAACCTGGTTTTAAATGATGGAGCAGCCCTCATCTGTAGCCTCCAGCTTCAAGGATAAGCAGAGGCCTTGAGAGAAATAATGAACTCAAGACTGAGGCACGGGGCTTCCAGCACCCATGCACCATGGAGGAAAGAGCACATGTGTCCAAGAGGCGAGCATGTTTCCCTTCTGCCAGATGAAGAGAAAAACCCTGCTTCCACAAGGCTGCTCATGTGGCTGTTGATTCCATGATCCAAACTAGTAGAGAAAGAAATTAAGTGAGAGAGTGACAGAGGTTCTCTGTAATAAATAATAAGTGAATATTCAATAATGCTATAATAAATAAGTGACCAAGTGCATAAAACATTGCCTCAAGTAGCAAGTGGTCATATCAAGTTGATCAAGAATGGAGCTTCTGAACATTTGGGCTTCTAAAACTTGCAGTTAAAACTTGGTGTTAAGCATTTAGGGCTCTGATAGGGATTGATGCCCTGTCATTATGAAAATGTGATACTCACAGGTTAGCCTGTTGGCAGCACCTGTAGAAAGAGGCAAGAGAGTGTACAGGGGCCAGTATCTGTCTTGCATTTGCATAAGGGAATCTTTTGGAAGCTTTTGCCCAGGGTCCACCATGTAAACAGTCCCCATTGCCTTACATTACAAGTTACCTTTTAATTTCACAGCAGCACACGGGCCAGATTAGCTTTGGTGTCTGCAGCACCTCAGCCAAGGAGGTGGGGGCTGGGAGACGGCGTCCAGGGGCACAGGCTGGTGGCTTGTGCAGCTGGGTGCTCTCAAGTCTCTCTGGGCTTCAGCCCTGGCGGCAAGGAAATTAAGATGGATCTGAGTCAGATTGAGCAATCCCCTTGGCATTTCTGTGGTGTGGTCAGTTTCCTTTTTTAATCTCTGGTGTGGTTGTTGCTCTGCCTTTCCTCTCAGTGTTTGTGCAAACTTTGTGAGAGTCTTGTTAGGTCAGTGTAGCAAGAATTACATGTCCCCACCCCCCACCTCCCACCTTGGCTGTAAATCCCCATTTGTCCTTGCTGTCTTCAGAGCTCGGTCTTTCTCTCCTGTTTGGATAATCTTGACTCCTATTGCAATAGTATTGAATAAAGTCTCCCTTAACATTTTAACAAGTGTCAGAATAATATATTTTTAACACTGGGAGCCAGCCACGCCAGTTCTCTGTGCTACCACTGGTTTGCCTGGAATGTAGTGAATACTGTTGCCAAGTAGGATTCAGGGGGCCTGGAGGGGAGTAAGAAAAGGAAGGGGAGTTGGGGATGAGCAGATGGGGATGGTAGACGGAGAGGGAGGGGCCCAAGGTGAGGTTGGGATGGGGAGGGGGGATACATTGTATTGTGAACATGTTCAAACGTGCAACAAAGTTGGAAGAATTTCATAACAAACATCGATATTCCCACCACCTGGATTCTAGCATTAATATTGTACTTTACTTATTTATCACATGTCTATCTACCTGTCCATTCTCTATTCATCTATCAACCCATCTTGTTTTCATGCATTTCAAAATAAGTTAAAGACATCAGTATATCTTTTTTTTTCCAATTTATTATTTTTCTTATTGTTATGTTAATCCCCATACATTACATCATTAGTTTTAGATGAAGTGTTCCATGATTCATTGTTTGTGCATAACACCCACTGCTCCATGCAGAATGTGCCCTCCTCAATACCCACCACTAGGCTAACCCATCCTCCCACCCCCCGCCCCTCTAGAACCCTGTTTGTTTTTCAGAGTCCATCGTCTCTCATGGTTCGTCTACCCCTCCGATTTCCCCCGCTTCATTCTTCCCCTCTCGCTACCTTCTTCTTCTTCTTCTTTTTTTTTCTTAACATATATTGCATTATTTGTTTCAGAGGTACAGATCTGAGATTCAACAGTCTTGCACAATTCACAGCGCTTACCAGAGCACATACCCTCCCCAGTGTCTATCACCCAGTCACCCCATCCCTCCCACCCCACCCCCCACTCCAACAACACTCAGTTTGTTTCCTGCGATTAAGAATTCCTCATATCAGTGAGATCATATGATAGAAAGACATCAGTATATCTTACCTCTAAACACTTAAGCATGCATAACATGAACTAGAGGTCAACATTTAATTATAGGTTTTTCATTTGTTATAAAATTTACCTATAGTAAAATGCACAAATCTTAAATGTACATTTACTTAATTTTGATAAATGCGTAGCCCTGTATAACTCATCCCCTATCAGGTACAGAACATGACCATCACCCAGAAATTTCCCTCATTCCCCTTCCCAATTATTTTGGGCCCTTATCCCCAGAGACAATGCCTGCAGTGATTTTATTTTATTTTTTCACTATAGATTAGTTTTGTCTATTTTCAAAGTTCATATAAATGGAATTCTGTGTATTTAGACTTCTCTGGCTTTTTTTTTTTTCCATTCATCTTGATGTTTTTGATAGTCATCTCTGTTGTTTAAGTTGTACACAGGCATACCTCTGAGATACTTCAGGTTTAGTTCCAGACCATCACAATAAAGCAAATACCAAAATAAGGTAAGTCAAATGACTTTTTCTTCTTTTTTTTGGTTTCCCAGTGCATATAAAAGTTATGTTTGCACTATACTGTAGTCTATTAAGTGTGCAACAGGATGATGTCCACTTGTCAATTAAAATAGATATCCTATTCTGTTTAATTTGGGGAAACTTGCCTTTAAAAGTACTTCTTAAATGATCTTATCTAATTGGCACATCCCCCATAATGGCCATTGCATTTCTAGGTGGGAATTCTCCCGAGGGCCGGCAGCAGTTTGGTAGGACCCTGGCCCCAAATGGGATATCACTCACATTTCTGCCTGGCCCTATTTTGGGGCCTTAGCCTGATGGCCACCAAGCCAAGTTCCTCGAGACACAAAACGAGCTTAGTAAGATGTTGCCATTTTGCTAGATGCCTGTAACTTTGGGATTATCCTTCTTAGATAGAAAACAAGCAAGTGTGCTAAAACGTGGCTCATTTGACTCTTCAGAATTTAAGGGTGCCATTAGCTAAGCTTTGGGGTCCCTCGGAGCCAAACTAATACTGAAGTGATGGGCTACAGGGTTGGGATTGTGCATATCTTCCCGTTCCCTCACTGCACAGAAGTTTTCTTGAACAGGGTGACCTGGTGTCAATCTAAGCCGTTCTGAGAATCAGCTTATTCTATCCTGGGAGTCCTCCTGAGGGGGTGAGTGCTCTAGCAGCCTTTAAATGCTTCACGCATGCCCACCAATTTGATGGCATTTGGCTACTGAAACCCTCATTAGCAGTAGTCTCTATTTACACAAAACAAAAAACACATGCATTTTATTGTATCCGTGATAATCAACATATGTTACTGTATCATGGTCACAAGAAGGCCCTGTGTGCACCACCACCAAATCCCATGGAAATGTGCTGAAATTTTCGACCCAGGGAATTGTGGTCTGTAAACCTAAGGCCTGGGCTCTGGGCCAACCCTTCTGCCAGCCCAACTGGGCTGGAGGCAAACATGCCAGTTCAATAGTCTCCGATCATAACCTTTGGCTGGTGCACGCTGACCCAACCTGTGAAGGAAAGCCAATTAGATCAGGAGCTCTAAGGCAAAACATGCAGAGCTCAGAACCAAGGGAAACTTACCTACTCCAAAGGTTTGTGGTACCAGGCCTGTGTTTCTCATTGTCCCCAAATGCCACCAGAAGTTCACTTCCATCCTGTCACCGTCACCAAATCTGTTATATAACAAAAATTCATCCTAATAAATTTTAAAGATCTAATTGGCTCTATTAATCAGCTCATGAATCAGGCAGCATCCCATCTGGCAAGTAGAGGGGAACTCCAAAGGGCTATAGATGAGGAAAGGTTTTTAAAGGTAGAGAGGGAGAGGAAAAATGGGAATTATTAACAAAGAATCGGTTATTTTAGGCAAGGTCACCATCCTAAGGGGGGCCCAGGGGTCTATCAGTACATTTCCTCACGCTGACCAGGAAATTCCCCTGTGGACTGGTGAAAGGCTACATTTCTGGGGGGCTGAAACTGCAGGTTTAGGTTAGGTATTAAGCCACAGTTTGTTGATATGGGGCCTTGAGTCACACCCTTGTAGGCCTGTGTTTTTGTTTTTTTAACACAGGGAATTAAATCTCCTAAGCACCATGGTACTAATTTTAGGAAGAAACCCACATATTCACAGGATGGCCCTTCCTGCCAAAGATCCCTTGAACTCACTTCCCTATACAGCCCTCGGACACTCACCTGCCAAGGGGATTTGGGTCAGCACAGCCATGGGGCCAGAGTGAGCACTTCTGACTGATAAATTGTGGGTAATATTTGCCGAGCATTCAGCTTGTCAACAGAGAGGAGCAACACTCTGAGACAACGTTTGCCTCATGGCTGAAATTTCAGACTCTGCTCCCCACTCCCCCCTCCATCCACCGCGTGCCCCGAGAAGCTTGCACTTGGAGCCAAACCGTGATTTTCATAAGACCTGCAGCCAAGACTCAGTGAATGGTGCTTTTTGTACAAATAAAAATGTGTGGTAGCATGTGGGTGTGCATTGTTCTATCAGCAAGAATTATCTTGTTCGGGAACTTTAGCCAAGCTCTATGTGGCATTTGGGTCCAAGCAGTGACCTGCAGCCACCACTTCATCCCTGCTCCATGGACCCTGAGTTCACCTGCCTCTGCCACTCTCTTCCCACCACAACTCACGGGCTTGGTGGCATCCCAGACAGAACCTCTGAGTCCTCCAGGCATGAGCTTAAAAGAAACTTTGCAGCCAAAGTCCCTGGCATCCTCCACTGCAGACACCTTGTGTAATTTTCACACCCAGGCAGGATTAACTCCCTGACTCATGTGCTTTAAACTTTAGCCCATGGCCCTAGATGCTCATTGCCATGTTCTAGAATCACCTGTGAGCAGTGAAAACCATGGACGCCTGACCCCCACCTCCGAGCAGTGACCAGAAACTCTTGGGTGGTGTCTCGCCTTGAATGGCAGCCAGAGGATCCTGCCCGGTGACTAGGGAGAGAGCCACTGGCTGGACCATGAACCTGGCCCTCAGAGACACAGCTCTCAGAGCTGTCAGCCTCAGGCAGGCGTTGTGCCTTGTTTTGCCCCCACAGGGGACAAAGGAGAGAGTCCCTGTGCCACAGAGTGGGATCAAGGGGCAGTTCTGTCCACTTATGCAGGACACAGATCACAGGTGGCAGAGAATGGGGTGGGGTGGGAAGGGGTAAAGTGATGAGGGAAACAAAGGCAAAAGAAATGTAGCTTCAGTTAAAATCCCCCTACAGCTTACAGCCCACTGACAGATACCTGAAACGTGCAGAGTGTGACCTTCCTCAAGGTGCCTTAGTGCCTTCATGTTTAAAAGGAACCTTATCTTGGCAGCAGCTGACCCCTCAAGATCCTGAGAGCCTTGCTTCCAGATTCCTTGGAGATTTGTGCCATCCCTAACCCCACTACTGAAAAAGTACACAGTCAGTCACTCCTCACAGTCCCAGTGCAGCTCTTTCTGCCCGCAGGTCCTGTCCCACGAATAGGGGAGGCGTGAAGGTGTGGGCAGCAGAGACAGGAGGCTCCTGACTCCCCTGACTGGGCTTGGGAACTATTCCTGGCAGGTGGAGACGCTGAGACAGAACGGAACCAGAGATAGGGCAACAAACCAAGACGGCACGAGAACCTCAAGGCCACAAGCATCTCCGTCAATTCTCAATAGAAGACTGCCAGTAAAACCCTCAGTGGCAACCCTCTCAGTCTAGAGGGCTTTTTTCTTTCCTTTCTGTTCTCACCTTCATTCAACAAACTTTCGCTTCACTTCGCCTTTTGGTGTTCAGGTGCATGAGGTAAGAACCCGGTAACCCAGCGACAGAAGGAAGGAGGAACAGCCTGAGATCTCTCCCTAAGACCAGGGCCTCCGTCTCCTGGTGCTGCAGGGGCAGTGACCTTCGGTGTGGCTCAGAAACAGGAGGGAACGGGTGGGACCAGACTGGGCCTGGTTGGTGTGGGGGTGCCTCGGGCTGTCCCAGAGACTCAGTCCTTAGGCCTCCTCCGTTGGAGCCCCCTGAGATTCATCTGGACTCTTCTTCAGGGCCAGTCTGCCCAGGCACAAACAACCAACCACCAGCCCCTCTTAAATACATATTCTCTAATTAATTACTCTGGTGTACTTCAGGCACAACACTGGCTTCTAAATTTAAACTACTGTCTTGACCCACTTCCAGCCACCAGTGGGCATATTTAAGGCCTATATACTTTGATGATTAAAGCAAAAATATGCCTTTATAAGTAACATTTACCAGGGGATCCTAAGTCTTGGAAAGGGGCTTCCTAACAAAACTCACCCAAAGAGCCTCACATACTGCTCAGAGGGAAGGGATATTCTGGCTGACGTGGACACACCGCCAGCCCCCTCGCAGCCCAGTGTTCTGGGCTCTGCACTAACCCCGGAAGGGGAGCCCCACCAGAAAGCCCACTGCAAGCAGGAGCCTAAAGGCAATCACATGCTAATAATACTAGTAGGTTCAGATAAGAATCCCCATAGCTGCTAAAACCACTGGAGAAAGTGACTGGAAAACAAGGTACTTACAGAGTTTTAAAGAATCTCTGTACCGATGACTTACAAATTACAATGGGAGCAAGTATATGGAGAAACCTGTCACCCACTACCTTACACAAATGATCAGAATCAATGCCACTAGGAATGGGACAAACCCACATTGCGATATGATGCCCTGAGAAGCACAAAGCATCGCCCATATGGTGCTTCTGCCAAAAATGTGTACTTGAATCCAATTGTCAAGAAACCAGTGGGCAGACCCAAATTAATAATCCAAATATAGTAACATATATAATCTATTTTTAAAAACTTTATTTATTTATTTTCTAAGTGATCTCTACACCCAACGTGTAGCGCTCACGACCCCAAGATCAAGAGTCATATGCTCCACCAACTGGGCCAGCCAGATGCCCCTATAAACTATTATTATAAACAATAAAAATGTGCTCTGTACTCTTAAAAAATGTGAATGGCATTGAAGACAAAAGCAGAGAGCAGTTGTTCGAGATTAAAGGAGATTAAGGAAACATAATAGCTAAATGCAAATTGTAATCCTGCCCCAGATCCTGGACAAGATGGAAAAAAAATTGCTGTCATGGACATTTTGGGGACAATTGGAATTTTTGAAAAGAACTATTAGATAATAATAGTGGATCAGTGTTAAATTTCCTGAATTTGATCATTATGTTGTGATTATATATTCATAGAAAAAAAGAAAGAAAGAAAATCCTTTTCTTAGGAGTACTTCTTTCTTAGTAGAAGTATTTAGGTGTAAAGGGCCATAAAATCCACATATCTCAAAAGGGTTAGCAAGAAATTACAATTAAAAAATATATATGTGTATATATAATTCTGTATTTCAGATGTCCTTCCTGACTCTTACAATGAGCCCACCTTTCAGAATGTGTGTTTTCTTTCAAATTTTATTGTTTTTAAGGGTTTATGTACTAGAAAGCCAGAGAATAAGATTTCTTTGAATTGTGTACAAAGTAAGAGTCAATCAATTCTGAGTGAAGCCTTGGGAACTTCCTGATGAATAAAGTACATTAAATAAAGCAGTGGACCTTTTGTCATCTACTTGGGCTACACAGGGTCATTTTATACTTGTTTTTGGATTTTTGGTGGGTTGATTTCCTGGAAAAATAATTTTTGGATAAAGTGTAGCAATTTTAAAATAATTTAGTAGTGGTTAGAAAATTAAATTTAAAAAAATTTCTTAGAAAATTTCAGATATGTTCCTGAAAAGTTCTATGCAGCACAATTTTTGTAGTCTATTTAAGGGGACCTTGCAATGGTTCTTTCTCTGAAGTATAAAAGAATTTGAAACTGTATGCTTTTTCTTCCATAAATTAACTTGCTTAGAGCAGGTCATCTTGGGCTTTTAGTTTCTAAGTGTGCACATCAACCAAGCTTAGGAAGATCACAGAAGGACTTGCATTTCCAGGAATAAGGCAGGGGAGGGATCAGACTAACCTCCTACCGGAAACAGTCAAAACTGTTTACTAAAAGAAATGTGGCTTTTTAAAAATTTTGTTTTGTTTTACTTCTAAAAAGCATCAAAGATCTGGCAAGAGAGTAAGGAAATAAAGTCCAGATCAAAGGGAAAACAAGATCTCTGAAAGTTATGTGATGCCCTAATGCTGTTTGGAACTAAGGGCATTTGCGAATGTGGGCAAACTTGAACTTGTAATTGTATGTGTTTTTGCCATATGTATATATGTGTGCATATATGTAGAAGAGAGAAATAAAGCAAAGGTTATGGCTGTCTATCCGTCCAGTTTAAACCAGAGAAACAGAACCAAAAAAAAATTCATATTCAGAGGTTTGCAGCAAGGCACTGGCCTGCAGGATTGATGACCGGGTCGGCAGACAAGAGAAATTGCTCGAGAAAGGCAGGCTGGAACTCGCAGGTACAGGCAGAGTTTCTCCTTTCTCAGGGAAACTCAGTTCTGCTCTGAAGTCCCCTGGACAGATTGGATCAAGCCCACCTGTCACCTAGGATCATCTCCCTTCCTTAAAGCAAACTGGCCATGAACTTTGATCACATCTACAAAATGCCTTCATGACCAAATTAGCATCTGACTGAATAACTGAGGACAAAGGACTGCCCAAGACAAAACTGACCATCTATTTTTGCAATGTGTCTATAATTTTGAAATCTTTCTAAATAGAAGGTGTCAAACACTGTGCTACCCAATTCCTTTCTCAAACCGGGGTGGAGTAGAAGAGTCTGAGGACTCCCAACCCTCCCACCTCACCAACCCACAGCGGTGATTTAAGGACCAGACCTGTTTCTTTAACACCCCGATGAAATGAGTTTGCAGCGTGTGATGGGGTGTTATGCCTCGGTCACATGAGGCAGTCCTTCTCAAACTTCAGTGTGACTCACTTGTTCCTCACAAAGAAGGAAAACAATCACATCTACAGAAAGAAATGGAGAGAATGAATAACTGAAAACAAAATAGGATATATTAATTTTCTTATTTTATTTTTCTCTCAATCCCCACAAGCTAACCTGAACCAGAGGAATGCATTGAATTTACATGTTAGTATGATATAGACTTCTCCCCAAAATCCTCTCTGTGCTTTACTTTTATCCTGGCTTTTTTGGGGGGGTGCATATCCAGCCTTCCCAAATAGCTCACTTCTTTCTTCTCCACCTTGCAGACTGACATGAGTGTTTCATGCACAGGCACATGAACACAGTTGCTGTACTTAAAAGCATTAGTATTCTGATGAGATAAAGGTAACTGTCACTCACTCCATGGTCCGTCTCCACAGGTGCGAGTGGGTGGCTGAGTTCAGACTGACCTGGGTGGTCTGGGCTGGCTGGCCAGTCGTTAGCTCTCGAGAGGTACTTTCAGTTTCTCCACGGGATCAGCTGGAAAGAAGAGCTTAAAGAAAAATGTGGGAGAAAGGTCGGTAAGCACAAGCAGGTGGTGGTAAAGGTCAGGTCTTAGGGTCTAGCCGGTGACATAACTGATGAGGGAAGCAAAGGCAAGAGAATGTAGCTTAAGTTAAATCTCCTTACAGCTTGCAGCCCACTACAAATACCTGAAACATGCAGAGCATGACCTTTCTCAAGGAACTCGTGGCTGCCTCAGTGCCTTCATGCTTATGTTTTATTAAAGACTAGAAGTAACCTTATCTTAATGGCAGCTAGTTCCTCAAGGTCCTGAAGGCCTTGCTTCCAAATTCCTTAGGGACTTACAGGATCCCTAACCCCCACTAATGAAAAAGCATATAACCAGTCACTCCCCACAGTCCTAGTGCAGCCCTTCTGCCTGCGGGTCCTGTCCCATGCTATAATAAAGTCACTCTTTTGCACCAAAAACATTTCAAGAATTATTTCTTAGCCATTTGCTCATGAATCCAAAAACTTCCAAATTTCATCAGTAACCTTCAATTTGGGGTATATCAAGAATAGCTCAACATGAAGCAGTTTTATTGTGGTGACGTCACTCTGGTGCAGAAAACATACTTCCATAGACAAGGGGCGAGAACCAGAGAGGAATGGAATTACCCCTTAACTGTTGGTACCTTAAAAACCAGCTATCGTCAAACAAGTACATTCAGACCTTGACTTCCTTACAGCAGTTGTGTCAGCTCTCTTTTACACTCCATTACTATAAACTTAGTTCTCCATGCAGGTTTCATTTCCTACAATTTCTGAGACATTAAAAACAAGTGGTATAATGACTGTTTTCAATTCTGCTTCTTTTTTTCCATGTCCCTTGGGGATTCACCCTTCCTTGTCTCACTGAAATAATTAACTCTGATTCCATAAGACTAAAGCTATAATGGGAGGAAATGTTGACATCATTTTCTCAAAAACAACAAAAACAAGCTTAAGAGTGTCAGCAAGCCCTCTTGCTCAACTCTAGGCCCTGATAGTTAAAAAACCAGAAATAGTCGACTGCTTAACTCATGCTCTAATTAAAACCCATTGTGCTTCTTTCTTATCGCACTTTCTTGAGGTACTGACAAAGATGTTTTGCAATGACCAGAATGTTCCAACAACCTCCAGACCAGAAAAACCCTGATAGCAAGGAAATGCCTAGAAGACCACACCCCACAGGTCTCCTTCTCTGTCCACGATCTTGGTCTGAGCACTTACCACCCCACGCATGATCACGTGCTTTCTGCCTGCTCTCCTGCAAGTACCTCTCTGAACCTCTCTCTACAAAACTCTAGGTGTCCATCTTGCTGGCGGGGAGATCTGATGTTAAGGCTTGAGCCTGCCACCTCCCCTGGCTGACAACACCCGAAATAAATCTCTCCTTTTCTCTTTCCAAACCCCTGTCTCTTGAGCTAATGGCTTCTCTTGCAATGAGTATATCCGAGTTTATTGCACAACAGTGTTGGCAAACCTAGCCAGGAGATGCACTTTCAATTTGTCCAGCCCCTTCAGGACTCCCCAGGGTGGAACAATGGCCATGGTAGTGCACCAGGGCTCGCCTGTTCATTTCCTGAGTTAGTGGCTATGATAGACCAATCAGTAACAAGAGCACTATTCCAGTTAATTCATTAATTCAGCTAACACTTACTGATCCCTCTTATGTGCCAGGCACTGTGAATCACAGTGAACAAAACAGACAAAATATAAAGTTTACATTCTAGTTGTAGAGACAGAAAAGAAGAAACAGCCAATCAGAAGGTGCAATGGAAGAAAATAAATAAACCAGGAAAGGAGAATGGGAAGGTGGAGAACGGGGGCAGGGGCGGGGGAGGGTTACAATTTTAAAGAGTGAGGTCAGGAAAGGTTTCCCTGATCTTTAAGTAACTGCCCTTACTTGAAGTGGGGAACACCCAAGTGTTGGAGGGAGATACTCAATTCACAGTGTAGTTTGGGGTGTCTTGGGCCACCCAAGTGGAAAGGCCATCAGATAGACTTGGAGGTAGGTTCTGTACCAATTAATAATTCTGGTCACCAATTTAGATGTGTGGGTTTTTTTTCTCTACACCACCAAGCCGAGTTCTGACAGCAGTGTCCTATAATTTAACTCAATTCTGACACTATCTACCTGGTGACTGTTCAGGGCTCAGTCCTACAAAACATCACCCCCCACTTCAGATGCCTGTCACACATCCTGTGCTTCTGACCAACCTGCTAGAAATTCGAGGTTTCAACAACCTCCTCCTTAGATTCTATTAACTTGCTAAAATGGCTCACAAAATTCAGGGAAACATGATCATTCAATGGTTTTTTATAAAAAGACAACTCAGGAACAGCCAGATGGAAAAATGCACAGGGCAAGGAATGGGGAAAGGGTATGGAGCCCTCTGCCCTCTCCACGTGCACCCTCTCCCTGAATCTTTAGGTGTTCACCAATCTGGAAGCTCTCCAAACCCCATCCTTTTGGGTTTTTTGGAGGCTTAACTGCATAGTCATCAATGATTCAAACATTGGCCAGTGGCAACTCATTCATCTCCCAATGTCTTCCCTCCCTGGAATTCAGGGAAGTTGGGACTGAAAATTCCAACCCTCTAATCCCATGGATGGGTCCCCTGGCCTCCTTAGGTGTGTGTGGGGGGGTCCAAAAGCCACCTCATTAACATCACAAGAGACACCTGCATGCTCTCGTCACTTAGGAAATTTTGAAGGTTTTAGGAGCTCTGTGCCAGAATCCAGGACTAAAACCAAGTACACATCTCTTACTATAAATCACACCATCACAGGAGGTGAGGTGGCAGTTTTGAGCTGGAGATACCTGGTGCCACTGTGGGTGCAGAGCTGGTATTAAAGCCATGAGACCTGAACCAGACTCTGAGGGAAAGGGGTACACCTGGAGGTAAAAAGAGGTCCAAGGCCTGAGCCTGGCAAACCCCTTAGGACAGGCCTGGTTGAGGTTCTCAAGGAGGAGTCCAGACCTAAAATTCTTCACATGTAGACCAACAAAGATAAGCAACATTTCTGGTGTCTTGGAATTAAGAAAAGAATCAAGATCATACTGCCATTTCTAATCTACCTGCAAAGAGGCCTGGAGAGACACCCCAGGCAGAATCTGGATCCCTGGTCTCTATCTCCCTGCAATCTGAGACAACGTGTTGTGTTGAAGTACCTGTTTATATGTGTTTCTCCTCATCAGACCCAGGACTTTGCGAGGGCAGGACCTGAGCTTTTATATCTCTAAAGTCAGTACCTGGCATCCTGTGTGCCATGAGTACTTAACTGGATCCCCGTGATTGATAAATCATGTAGTCAGGAAATTGATACCATTTTTCAGGGAGGATAAATGAGTGCACGGTAGATCTGCCATGGACTCAGGTACAAGACTGTAGTAATAGGAGGAAGCGGCCATCAGGGGCACCAGCGGGGGGCTCAGGCCCAGCATCAAACCACTGAAGACAACTGCACTTGTAGATAGTCTCAAGTAAAATAAAGCACAAAATGCCGCTGTTGACCAAGAACTTTCTCTTCAGTACTTGAACCTGCGTAAGTCAGACATAACTTTCTAAGGAACTTTGACAGCCTGTAACCAAAAGTCTTTGTAGCCTTTGTAGGGGCCAAGGGCAGGCCACTGCAAGATGCAGCACTTTGCAATTAAGATTATTTTGAGTTAAAAAGCAATCAAAACCTAGCATATTGAGGAAAGCTCTTCACCTCCCCTACAACTACCTAAAAAGAATTTAGATAGAAGGCCTGCTGCAGGAAGAGAGCTACCACCATAAATAACTAGATTTTGATATAAACTAGGTATGACAGGGAGGTACCTAGCAAGGCCTGTTTGATTTACATATTCTGTGTCCCATTGTTTCTGTGGGCCCAGCTAACATTTGTTACCAAACCTTTGTTCTTTCTCATTCTTTCAGAGGATAATATTCCTTCCCTTTGAAGTCCTAGACCCTAACCATTCTCCTTAGTTCAAGATGACATAGATACCTCAGGATGCCTGTCTGTCTTTGGAATTTCCTTATCTGTGTGGACTCCCCATACATATAAAATTAAATTTGATTTTCTCCAGTTAATCTGTCTTGTCAATTTGATTCTTAGTTCAGCTAGAAAGATGTAGAAGGGGACAGGAAATTCTTGTACCCTGACGTGGTAATTTCAATTTTAGGAAGAAAATAATCCAAAATATGCACCAAGGCTGTTTTTTCCTATAATAGTGTGTATCCCATTATTACTCATTTTAGGAAAAAAAAAAAAAAGCTGTGAACAGCCTGAAGGTCTGGCATTAGAAAGAAATTTAAACTATGGGATAACTAGTTGAATAGTTACTAATTGATATGATTTATTGATTTATTTATAACTAACTTTAGCAACTTAGTTGATAGAGCAGAGCTTTCAGAGATGATTTAACACATGAAAATGTTCATGACATAATGACAATGCAGAAAAGCAGCATTGAATTGCAATCATCACATGAGATCAGTGTGGTCATCCGTGCATTCAGTGCACACAGGTCCAGTGACACGCATGCACAGAATTCATATTCTTTATACTTTTCTTTGTTTTCTCATTTGTTTTTATACTAAATATGTTGTACTCACTGGATTAAAAAATAAAGAGCTTTTATTTTCAAATATGGGGAAGAGTTGGATAAATCTGCTCTTTGTCTTTTAAAATCAGGTTTTTCCTCTACTCGTGGTGCTGACTTTTTTCCAAAAATTAAAAATAGCTTGGGGATGTGGGGAGGAAGGAGAAGGAGGCAGGGAGGAAAGGAGGAAGGCAGGGGAGGGGAGGGAAGGGAGGGGAGGAAGCTGGTCCAAGTTAAAAAGGAAGAAGGAGAAGAAGCAGAAGCAGCCATTTCAAGTAATCAGGGGCTGCCCTCCTCAGTGTGGCAGGCATGCCTCAATCCCATGCCTGGGATCCTCCTAAGACTTCCGGAGGAGGCTCCCTGTGGAAATCAGGTAGACCTTGTTTTACCGAGTTTCCCAGTCACTGCATTCTTCACACTGGAAGTCTGTGG